GTTCAAGCAACCCCATAAACCCCAATAATTCACACAGCACACACCACGCAACAACAATAATAATCTCACATCAGATGCATGATAATATATATTTATTATACATGCATACACCAAATATACACCCAAACGCCAAATCTCTCAGATGCCATTGACCGGATCCGCACAAAGAAAAATCTCACATTTTGCAAAAATCAGACCCCCGCCACACAGGCCAAAGGTCGCGACTGTCATCTCTCATGCATCACTCATCTACCCGGGATTTCACATCACTCTCATATCCGTCTCGTAAGCCCGGATATCTCATCACATCACATGGCTGAGGGAAGCGTCACATGGCATCAAAATTCACATCTCTCATCCACACGACACTAAAATATGTGCTAGTGCACGTGTCATGGATTCATATCGCAATGCAATGCGCCAGTAAAACAACAAGCAAACCCACACCGAGACTCACCTTGGCCTTTCAAGACAATAACGGTTTCTTATGGTTTCAGATAACCTCTCTGTTGACCTACACAACTAAATTTTTATATAGATCCGACCAGAACCGAAGCAAACAGAGGTCAGATTTGGATTGAGGACGAAAAACTAGGTTAGACAGATGACTTTGAACTAAAATAACCTACCTGACTGTTTTCGATTAGCTACTCGACTACGGCTCGCGCGGTGGTTTGTGGTGGTCGAGGGCCGTCACGGTTGTCGGAACTTTTCCCGCAGAGCTTCACTGCTCTTTTCTATACTGAAAACTAAATCATAAAGCTTCTATTTATAGGGGAAAAATGTAGATTCTAAAAAGATTCCTGAGCAGCAGTGTCGTGCTTGCAGAAAAGATTCCCGAGCAACTGCGTCGTGCTTGCGTGTGGAGGCGTAAGCAGGTGAAGCAGGACACGGAGCTGCTGTGTTGTGCTTGGCATGTGCCAGCGCGTGAAGAACGTGTTCCGGCGCGTGTAGAGCGTTTCCTGAAGCGTGGAAAGCGTTTCCCAGCGCGTGCCTGTGTCTAAGGTGCTCAAGCAAGAAAGCAGGCCGCTGAGTCAAGCTGCTGAGTCAAACTGCTGAGTCATCGAGCAGCTTCTCTTGACCAACCCATTTCCTACCTTCCGATCGAACCAAAACGGCCCATCGTTCCACCCGCGTGACTAAATACTTGACTTCTTTAGACAAAAACTTAACTTCTATAGCTAAAACTTAAAGCTCTTGACCATTAACCTTAGTTGCTTCCTTACTTTTCTAAGCTTTTTCATTGACCACGTCCTGATCTCTTAAACGGGTTATTACATTCTACCTCCCTTAAAAAATATTCGTCCTCGAATTCCTAAAGGTAACAACCCAGCTACTTCTCCTTAATCTCTGTATAACTTAGAAAAATTTCCATATTAGACAAACGATTCCTTATCCTTTCCCCATTTACTTAATCTCTCAACCTACTTGGTGACAATTTCATTACCAAACAAAACGTGGGTGGATTCCACCAACAAGTTATGTTCTTTCACATATATTTCATTTATATTTACTTTTCATCCATCACAATCAATCATCAAATCAACATAATTCATTTCTGAGTCAAACAACAATGTGTTAAAACCCATACATACCTGAGTGGAGACCTTAACAAGTCAAGAAGGTTTACATTTATTCTTATCTACAAGATTATCAGGACTTGCATTTACCAGTGGCTTCAATGGAATGTAATCACCTGCCTTGAAAATATTCATCAATAACAAGGGTAAATCGTAATCCCATCTACCTAAATAGAGAAGTTGGTTGGTTTCCTAAATGCCATTTTGCGACTCATATACATGATAAAACATTGAAAAAGGGGTCCCGAGTGAACATGGAGAACCATGCTCTGATACCACCGTTGTAACACCCTGACTCGGTCTAGATCCGAGTGAAGTGACCGGCCATGCAACAATCAAACAAGAACATGCACGGCCGACCGTTCGAACCCAAACCGTATCGACGGTGCTACTTTTGCTCGCACAGACTATTGGTCCAAGGTTCTTAGCCGTGCACCAATCAAATAAGAACATGCACGTCCAAGAGCCCAATGTCGACGTCCGCACATGCTGTTCCTACCGAACGCGTCTCCTACCTTTTCAACCTGAGACGTGTCCGGTAGTTGGTTCGTCTCGGACAAAGACTAGTATCATTCGAAAATCCAAATTTTTATAAAACATACTTTTACTACATTGTTTGTTATACAACGGACGCCCTACAAAAATATTATACCGAAAAACAACTTAAATCATACTTGGTTTTGCAAAAGGCAAGAAATCTACACCAATGGTCCTAAATTTCTCTTGTCCCAATTGGCTACCCACTATGGTCACCTGCAAAACAAGTAGAGTCATGAGCAACTATTTGCTCAAAGAGTTCGGTTCCCCCTAATCGTTCAAGCAACCCCATAAACTCTAATAATTCACACAGCACGCACCATGCAACAACAATAATAATCTCACATCAGATGCATGATAATATATATATTTATTATACATGCATACACCCAATATACACCCAAATTCCAAATCTCTCAGATGCCATTGACCAGATCCCGCACAAAGAAAAATCTCACATTTTGCACAAATCGGACCCCCGCCACACAGGCCAATACTGTCATCTCTCATGCATCACTCATGTACCCGGGATTTCACATCACTTTCATATCCGTCTCGCAAGCCCGGATATCTCATCACATCACATGGCCAAGAGAAGCGTTACATGGCATCAAAACTCACATCTCTCATCCACACGATACTAAAATATGTGCTAGTGCACGTGTCGTAGATTCATATCGCAATGCAACACGCAATATACATATATATATCTCTACTTGCTTTGCAGTAAAACAACAAGGAAACCCACACCGAGACTCACCTAGGCCTTTCAAGACAATAACGGTTTCTTATGGTTTTGGATAACCTCTCTGTTTACCTACACAACTTAATTTTTATAGAGATCCGAACAGAACCGAAGCAAACAGAGGTGAGATTTGGATTGAGGACGAAAAACTAGGTTAGACTGGTGACTTCGAACTAAAACGACTTACCTGACTGTTTTCGATTAGCTACCCGACTACGGCTCGCAGGGTGGTTCGTGGTGGTCGACGGCGGTCACGGTTGCCGGAACTTTTCTAGCAGAGCTTCACTGCTCTTTTCTATACTGAAAACTATCATAAAGATCCTATTTATAGGGGAAAGATGGAGATTCTAAAAAGATTCCCGAGCAATAGTGTCGTGCTTGCAGAAAAGATTCCCGAGTAACTGCGTCATGCTTGAGTGTGGAGGTGGTGAAGCAGGACACGGAACTGCTGTGTCGTGCTTGGCGTGTGCCGGCGCATGAAGAGCATGTCCCGGCACATGTAGAGCGTTTTCCAAAGAGTTTCCCGGCGCGTGGAAAGCATTTCTCGGCGCGTGCCTGGCGTGTGTCTAAGCTGCTCAAGCAGGCAAGCAGGCTGCTGAGTCAAGCTGCTGAGTCATCGAGCAGCTGCTCTTTACCAATCCATTTCCTACCTTCTGATCGAACCGAAACGACTCACCGATCCACCCGCGCGACTAAATACTTGACTTCTTTAGACCAAAACTTAACTTCTATAGCTAAACTTAAAGCTCTTGACCATTAACCTTAGCTGTTTCCTTGCTTTTCTGAGCTTTTTCATTGACCGCGTCCTGATCTCTTGAACGGATTATTACAGCGGTTCTGTAGAGACTTGTCTTGGTGAGAGGGCTGGGGCTGAGGGCGGTTCTGTGGAGAGTAAGGACTCCTGCTGATTCTGGTGGAGGTGTAGGAACTCGTGGGGGCGTAGGAACTCCTACTGCTGATGGTGGTTCCCTCACTTCTGTTCCAGTGAACCCCATCTTCTCTTTCAAATATTTCTCAACAGCTTTCTGTCTCTCATCCATAACATATAACCTCTTCTCCATTCCACCAAGCTTCTCCATCATTTCCCTAAACCCATTCTCCATCACTTTCTCCAAATCCACTACTGTTGTACCCTTATCCGGTTCAGGTTCCGGTTCAGATTCCAGTTCTTGACCTCGACAACTAACCTCCAAGTCATACAATTATTTCCAACAGATTTTCTTCTTCATCATGGTGAGGTAATCAGTCCAAGACTCAACACACGGATCAACAAACCCTATCCCATCATCATATCCAGGTTTTAAGATGCGCTCTATAAGCATTTTTTCCTTAGAGTCAGGTTCCAATATGCTTATAATATCCTGTCATAAGACACCAAAACTACTTACTACTTTCAACCTAGATCAATCTTATAATCGAACTCATCACAAGATACTACTAACATTTGCCTTGCTACTATTGCCTATCGCCTCGTTAATGTCCTCCAAAGGAAACCCTTTCATGTATATATCAGAAAAATTCCCCTTGCACATGCGTGGATAGTTTCCATTTGCAGCCACAACTTCTCGGCATCTCCGTCCAAGCTCTGGAATACACTTGAACGCCATAATCTACATATAAAATCACAATATAAAAAACTCAATATCACAAAACCAATACTTTAAAACTCATTATTAATACTTACCTCTAGAGGAACAATGAAACCGGCAAAGCTGCATGATTGTCCTTTTGGTTTACGCTCCCTCTGAGCTTACGCATCACACGCTGTATCTCCTTCATACAATTATCAAACGTGTAGCGCCCCAGGGAAATTTCTTACACAGCCTTAGATCATTCACCACTCGAAGAAAGAAGGGCTCTATGTTTCCATTAGCCTTAGATTTGGCTTTAACAACTTTGCATAAGAAAAAGAGTACTGCCATCTTTTTCTTATCTTCTGAGGTCTCCATTGACTCAAGCTTCTCTTCCATACCTTCTTCCTTCCAAACTGTCTCTAAAAAAAGCTCCAACCCCCCAGTTTCTTATACTTTCTAGGGTATTAATGGCAGTCTAAACCACAGAGGAGCGCATGCTCTCTCAACGAGTAACGGATGGGAACACCGTTGACAACAAACCAGCTCTCACTTTTCTTCCCGGTTTTAGCAGTATGGAGGAGGAGCATCCACAGACCTTGACTCATGTGATTCGGCTCCTTCGGCATGTGAAATATGTGCTTGAGTTGAGGATGTGCTTTGAACCATTTCACCTCTTCTGGCAGTGCCTCTATCTTCTGGACTCGTTACAGAACACATAGTAACTATCTTGCAAGCTTTGCCAAACTTGGTTGGCGTAAAGAAAAACTTCTCAGGTAGCATCGGCAAGCTATCACCCTCGGGTTCCTACAATTCAAATACATTTTTCATTAGTTGTCTTAGTTTTCCAAAATTCAACCATGATGCACAAATTTATCATACTTAGTTGCTCCTGTTGTTCCAGTTGCCCTAAATAATTACATGATCAATCAAGCAAAAAAGTATTTCTCCTCTCCTAACTCCTAACCTGTAATCCAATCGGCCAATTCACATCAAGCAGTACATGAATACAGTACATACCTGCTCATCTTCTTCCCCATCGTTTATGTCCTCACCTTCCTCCCCTGCCGCTACCTCATCTGTTGCTTCCTCTCCTTCATCATCTGCTTCCTCCTCGTCATCTTCCTCTGCTTCCTCCTCTTCTTCATCATCTGCTTCCTCCTCTTCTTTTTCATCTGCCTCGTCTTCTTCTTTTTCCTCTGCCTCCTCCTCTTCTTTTTCTTCTCCATATTCATTACTTTCCTCATCTTTCTTGTCTGATACCGGATCTCCTTCCTCTTCTTTATTCTCCGCTTCCTCCTCTTGTATTTCATCTTCTTCATGCTTTGCTTCTTCCGTTTCTTCCTCTTCTTTTCCCTCTCCTTCATCTCTTTCCCCGTCTGCTTTCTCGGAAACAGCCCCCTCGGAAACTGACTCTCCATCTTCCTCCAATACTTCTTCTTCATCTCCATCTCGCCTTGTGTTGACTGTTTCCACACCCATTACAATACCCCCAGCGTCGGTGATGAGTAGTTCTGGGGTGCCTTCGTTGTCGACTACAGTACCTTCAGGGAGGTTTTCTGTGGTGGAGGTGCAGTGGCCTTCAGTCGAATCGTAAACAACTCCGCCTTTTCCTTTCTTTTCCTTCGCCAATACGGAGAACGACCACAGACTATGCGATTACGGCGAGAACTTCGATTCCGGCAAAAGATTTTATCGGTCAATTTCTCAGAAATAAAGATTTAGGTTTTTACTTCGCTGAGAATGAATAAATCCGAGTAAACCCTAGTAAAATCCCCTTTCCATCGGGTCAAGTCATTTGGGTGGGTAAAGATTTGGTTTTTTTTTGTAATTCTTCTAACCTTTGAAGAATGGTTAAGATTTTACTTAGTTTCTACACTTAGAAAAAAATTTAAAACTAATTCTTTATTATAACGGTGCCATCCGAGATCAGTTTTCCATCGATTGTGGCTTACGAGTTTTGTTACAACTCAGCTTTTGTCACAACTCAGCATTTTCACAAGATATAGATTTATCCTCAATAACATAATTTAAATAATATAAAACTCATGTTGTCTCTTATTCCCACTGCTATTTTCTTGGTGTCTTGCGCACGCCTTTCTTTTTGCCTTCTATAGTGAAAGGTTTATTAAAGATTTCTTCAATGTATGTTTGATAAATTGTTCTTACAATAAACAAGTACGACATGTTGTTTTGTAAGTGTTCAGGAGGTTAATCTGGTAAATATCAAAGCGACGGCTCGGAGATTCTTGATTAAAAGAGCCGAGCTCGATAAGATTCTATTTGGCGAGGTCTTTAAGCGAGGTAAAAGACGGAGATTATTGTTTACGAGAAACGAGTTCTCAGCATTTATTTCTGATTACGGATGGTGTTATAAATGAAATTACAGGGCTACTTATAGTAATGAAATTAGGTTACATTTTGGTCAGGTAGGTCGAACGGTCAGGCAGGTAGACCTGACCGACTGTCTCTCTAAACGTCACGGTGGCGAGCTGCTTAATCTTGCATCGTGGTGGCGAGCTGCTACCAATGTCTGCGAAGCCAACTGAATGAAACGACCTCGTTTTACTCGGCGTATGGGCCCTTAAAGCTCCTCGGTCTTATTGGGCCTTATTGGATTGGTTGTGGGCCGAGCTAAATTACGGAAAGGGGGTTGTGCTCAGCCCACCTACAAAAATTGTCCCCCCCCAGTCCATTGATGGAGATGTTACATCGATTTTCGACGTCGTGGGTTGGCAACTTCCACGAGGTCAGCGGCGAGGTGTTCTGCAAGGAGGTGATACTTGAAGCTACACAGACTCGCGTGGATCGCGATAGTGAGAATCAAGGAGTCGCGTGTAACCGCGAGCTTGGAAAGTGAAGAGACGCGCGTCGTGGTATGATTTTTTCAAATATCGCATGGAATTCGGACTTTATTAAATTGATGGGACGCGTCCGAATGATGATTGCTCTCCTCGGTAACCGCCCTTTTTTCTTTATATATTCCAAACAGTTTCTCTTTCTCTCACTTTCTTCTCTGTTTATAAAAGGTAACTTCGCTCTTCCTTCTCTCTAGAATTTTTCTTTATTTTCTCTCTCTAGAATTCATCTTCTCCGCCGTCTCCGTTTTCTTCTCTGCGGCTTGATTTCTCCGATCATCAAATTCTTCTGATCACATTCTAACCTCGTGCAATGTCTTTGGGGGGACAACGTATCGAATCGAGCTTAGAGTCTGGCTCTCTGTCTGATAAGGAGGTCTCGGAGAGTGGTAATTCCTCTCCTGAACTATCTTCGAGGTCTGAAAATCAATCATCTTTGGATTCTGCTGTCAAGGTTGCTGACTGATTACGTCGATAGGCGGGGTATCGCCTTTTCTCAGATCCATCCAGCCGGGATCGAAAGTAATTTTAACGTCAAATGGCGCTTTTTCGAGGAGATGTCGAATGTTCAGAGGAACAATATGATCCCTGGCACCTATACTATCAAGGCCAAAAAAGATTGCTCTTTGGTTCACCCTGTCAATAAAACACCAAATTGAGAAGCGTCCTTCTTCTACGCCAAAGTCATCGAGGCATTAGTTGTCGACACGGCCAGAAACTTTAGAAACGAGTGGAGCAACAGCATTGGTAGATCTTCAGTTCGAACCGAGCCTTTAATTTATTTTTATTCTCTACTTCTGACACTTCAAATTTTTTGCAGATTGGAATCTTAATCTTGGTGCGTATCCAGAGAATTATTTCGAGGACCTCACAAAGCTTAGATCTTTTGGGATTCGGAATTGGCCTGAAATTCATCGTCGGAGGGTTCAAGCTGCTATCACTCGTATTACGAACGGTAGGTGAACAATTGTTTGCATTTTTTTAAAAAAAAACTCTCTCTATATCAATCTAATAACCATTTTGTTTCAGCAAGTTGGGGAAGAGACTTCCGTCAAACAGGCAGATCGATCGAGATGGCTTCGATTCAATTGAACGCTCCTAGCCTCGCTGCGAGGCTTAAGGAAAACCGTAGGAGGGGCAAAAACAAGGAACAACAGCCCTCTGCTTCTCGACCGGGCAAATAAGGAGGTTATGCCAGAATGCGATGAGAACTTCACTGTGATTTCCGAGGGCGAAGGGGATGCTCGCCAAACTAGTGAAGAGGCTGATAACCAAGGGGATGGTCAACAGGTTAACGTTGGGGCTGATGAGGCTGCGAGGTCAGCGATTAGGGAGGATAAGAGATGGAAAAAGAAGGAAAAAGAGGAAGTCGAGGCTGCTCATCTCGCGCTGCAGGCAGAAGCTGAAGTCGCTAAAGCCAAGGCGAAAGGAAAAAAGAAAAAGAGATCAGCTGAAGAAGCAGATGATGATGATGGGGCTGATCGTGAGGAGCTCAGCAAGAAAGTGAAGATCGCTCCATCCAATAGCAATAAGATCCGAGAGATCGACTGGAGTTTCAAGTTCGATTATCCGGAGTCAGGAGAATCTTTTGTCAATAACATTGACAAATGTTCCGAGCTTTTCGATCTGAGAAGGGGATCGACTTATGAAGTCCCTGCTGGCGAAGACGGGGTCTTTAAAGACATGGCGAGCTTCGCCTTCAAGGTATGACGAAGATCTTTAAGTTACAATTTATGCTTTGGTTTGATTATCTGCAATTTTGGCCTTAGATTTTTTCCTTGTTTCTTTTAGCTCATCGCGAGTTGCAATCACGTAAGGGTTCAATATACTCGCACGCTTTAAGGTGCTGCTACGAAGTTGCAGAATGCTCAGTCCACCGGTCAGCAAGCTGTTGCAGAACGTGATGCTGCAGTTGTTCAACGGAAGCCTGCTGAGGATAACTAGCAAATTGATAGGAGACGTGCGATGCAACTGGAGGAATGTGTGAAGGCATTGACCAAGAAGATCGAAGAGATGAAATTGGAAAACCAAGACTTGATCAACAATCTCCAACTGGTAAATGAAGCGAAGATGCAAGCTGAGAAGTCGGTTGCTAACGAGGTTTCTTGTATGAAGCGACATGCCGAGGAAAAGATTGAAGCAGAAACCACTCGAATTTGGGTGGATGCAGAGGCTAAGTTCTCAGGTCGCATCGATCGATTAAGGACTTTCATCGCAGAGGAGGCGATCAAACAAGTGAAGCTTGATCTTGTTCAGGCTCGAGGTACTCTTGATTGCCTTGATATTCTAAAGGATAAAGAGATGACGGAGGCTGATCTGAGGGTGGAGCTGGAGGGTGATTTGCCACTGTCATTTACAGAAACTCCTAGTGGTGGCTCGGATCGTGACAAGGCTGACAATCAAGAAGACCTCGAGGATAGTACTCAGCCTAAGGAGTAGATAGTCTCTTCTCATTCTCGTTGTTATCGCGCTTCTTTTTTCTTGCCTTTTATCTTTTTCTTTTCTCTGTCTCGCCTCATTTGCTTGTAATGTCTCACCTCATTTGTAACGTTTCCCTTTTACTCTATTAATGAAGGTTATTTCTTTAAGTAACGATTCGTTCAATAACTCGTGTCATTTTATTCTAAATGGCCAAACCATAGTTGCGAGGTAAAAAGTTAGTGTATTCTGTTTTCTTTCACGAGTCTGGGCTCGGTTCAATAGGATTATAGGTGCAAGGTAAGAACTCGGCTTATCCTGTTTTGCTCCTTAAATCGTATCCGAATAGTGAAAATATCTTCGACACATTTATTCGGGCGATGTAAGAAAAGATTCAGGACTGGCCCCAACTTATTTTCTTATAGTCATAAGGTTTTTGTTCCTTGGAATTTATTAAGAAATTGCATTGTAGAGAAATTTGTATTTGAAGATCGTGCATCTAGCTAGGATGCCGATGTAAAATGTGTCGAGCAAAGAGTTAACAAAAAAAGAAATTGTTATTAATAGCTGTGCCTCGAAAGAGGTTGCCTACGTACCCAACAAACTGGGATCAAGCCGATTGTAGTTCGCATCTGAAGTATAGCTCGACTGAGCATAGCTCGGTGAGCGTCTTTTTTTTTTTGAAACTAGTAATAATATTGCTTAAGGTTCATCGAGTTTCACGATCTTGGAAATACCTCGCCTCGCATTGTCATGAGCTCGTATACTTCCGGCTTACAACCTTAGTGATTTCATATGGGCCTTCCCAGTTCACACCTAACTTTCCTGCGCTATCTTTTTGTTTGTTTTTGAATACTTTGCGAAGTACGAGGTCGCCTGCCTCAAAGTTTCTACCCTTGACTTTTTTGTTATAATATCGAGCTGCCTGCTGCTGATAGTTTTTCATTCAGAGTAAGGCTTGATCTCGCTCTTCTTCTAACATGTCGAGGTTATCCTTCATCATATCGCCGTTAGTTTTTATATCTTGCGTTAGCATCGTTCGGCGGATAGTTGGAAGACCGACTTTGGCCGGAGCTAAAGCTTCCATTCCGTGTGATAATGAGAAAGGTGTTTTGTTTGTGGATCATCGCGGCGTTGTTCCACGTGACCCATAAACCCTTTTTGGTTTTCAATCTCTTTTTGAACCCCTCGATGATTGTTTTATTG